ATTTTTTACCAAATAATATTGGAAAAATAATAATAATAATAATAATATAGTACTCCTATACGATTTTGCTAAAATAAAAAACCAATAAAAAGTTAACATTAGACAACGAATCACAGAAGTTTAAGAAAAATTTTAATAATAAAAATTATAAAATATTTAAACTACTAAGAGTCAAAAACTTTATTACGTTATAATAATGATTAACTATAATATAATGTTCACAATAAAGTTATAAAATAGATATTAATATAATAAGAGTTTTATATAGAACACTTTTTTTTTAAAAAAAAGTATATATAAAATAATAGAACTTCAAAAATCTTTTTAAAAGAATTTTTACTATAAAAAATTAGTATAACCAAATTTATTATTACTACTATTCTAATACATATGCTTCCGGTGAAATAATTAAATACTATTAATAATAATATAATAAATTGTGTTAAAAAATGAAGTTTTCTTATACATGTTAATAAATATGTAGAATACTAAAGAATTTTAAGTAAATAAATAATAAGTACATAATAATCATAGTTACCCTTTTCGGGGATGTCAGTGGGACGGACAATATTCCGGATGTCGTCCATATTCAAAAGAGAGGGCGACAGTCCGCCATGGCAACAGAAAATCCGCTCTTCTATAATAGCCGCTACGGGAAGTGTATTAAAGCAGCTGGTAAAGATTTTCCAGAGCTTCACGCTGTAGCGTCTTTTGCCTGATCATTAAAATAATAATGAAAACTTAATAAAATAATAATGCCGACAATGAAAAATAAACAAAATTATGATATAAATTTAATATAGTCACGACCATAATAAGATATAATACATAAACGATAATAATAATATATATATAAGAATAATAATAACCTATATATATACAATTTAAATAAAATTTATAATATATATAAAAGTAAAAAAAGTTATAACATCAAAGTTATGAATTATCGAGCATTAATAACAAGTATAAATTAGTAACTGAATCTCAAAATTCATATGTACAAATATAATAATAGGTATTTACAATCTATTTAACATAAATAAAAGAAAATAAAAATGAATCATTGAACTAATGAAAAAGAAAATATACGAAAGTTTATTCGGTTATAATATATATAAAACTAATTTATAAAAAGTTTTGACTATAAAAAAAATTTTAAGAAGTAAAAAGTTATTTTTGTTAATACCTAATAATAAAAATCAATCAAATTAAACAATTATCCAAACCAACCAATAATATTTAATACCTGTACTACAAAAGTAAAAACTTTTAAAATTTATTTAAATAAAATATTAAACTATAATAAATATAAATCACTAATAATAAAATTAATATACTGTAAAAGTTTATACATTTGTTGCTAAATAGTGATAATAAAAGAAAAATTTAAATTAATGAAATTTATAGCATTTGGTAGTTGTAGTATAAGTAAAGTTTTATATAGAACTATAAAAAATTATATTAACGGTTGATATGAGAATTAAACTACCAAAAATATCATCACAGTAATGCAATAAAATTAGTAGAAAAACTAATAAATATAATAAAACTGTCCAATTAAATTGATAATAAATTAAAGTTATAGTAAAAAAAGTATACATTACTCGTTGTCAGATATGAAATTGTATAAATCATTTGAATAAAAAAAAATAAAAAAAGTAAATTTTCAAAATTAAGATAAAACAATTAATCAATCAAATTATAATATGCCAAAGAAAAACATTTTTAAAATAATTAACCAATTAACAAAGCAAATTAATAATAATTTCGCATTGTAATGTCGTTATTTATAAATTTTTATTTCAGTAATAAAAATAATAATTAAACAATAGTTCAGTTATCCATAAAAACCTAATTAAAGTATGTGAGCTAAGTATAAATATTAACCAATATCAGGGTATAATAATTAACTAATAAAGAGTTAATAACGATTTAGCAAAAATATAAATATAAATATTTATATATTTTTAATTATGTTAAAATTCAAATTAAGTGTTAATCAAAAATTAATTAATCAAGTTATTAAGTTCGTATAATATATTTGTAATTCGAGATCTATGAAAATATACCAATCAAATACAAATTATAAATAAAAACCAACCAATATTATAATATAAAAACTAAACATTTAAATTAAAATTAACTAATCAAAATTATAAATACGTAAGCAATCAATATTATAATATAAAAACTAAACTAATAAATATAATAAAGCAATCAAATACATTATCTAATAAAAAATCAATTAATCATAATAATAATTTAGCAAAAAAATTGATTATCAATTTTTTTGCTAAATAATAATTACGTAATATTATGTAAATTAGGAACTAAAAAAATTAACCAATCAGATATAATATAAATGTAAAATAACCATCCAAATTAACATTAAGAAAAAAAAAGAACCAAATAATTTAATAGTAATAATATAAAAAATTAATAAGTGATACACTCATCGTAGAAACCGTAAATACGGTTAATCGAAGCGCATTCGTGGTTTCCTCTCAGTAAAAAAAAGTTTTCCGGATATTTTATTTTATAAGCCAATAACAGACATATAGTTTCTAAGCTCTGCTGTCCTCGATCAACATAGTCGCCCAAGAATAAGTAATTCGCTTCTGGCGGGAATCCACTAATAAAGGGGGGGGGGGGAAATAAAAACTGTAAAAAAATTAAATTCGAGAAAAAATAGTGAGAAAAAGTATATAATGAAAATTAATATTCATATATTGCATAAAAAATCTTAAAACTATTCAAAAAAATAAATAAGTTTTATTTAAAAAATATTAACAAATATATTGAATTTATAATTTAATATTAAATTGCTTTTACTTTTTACTAATTGATTTGTTTTATATAAAAATTTATTAAATTTAAAGTATTATATTCCGCTGTTATATATCAAATATAAAAAATAATTATTTTTATTAATTTGGATAAATAGTTACTGATAAAAAATTACTTTTCGTATATTAAATAATAAAATAGATATTCTTAGATTAAATATAAAAAGTTGCTAAATAAAAAGGTTTCTTATAAAAATAAAAATAATTTTTTAAAATAATTTAAATCTAAAAATTTACTTTTCAAAAGGTTCTTCTCTTCATTTACTAAACTAAACTGATTCTAAAGTTGCTAATAAAAAAGTAATTTTTCCAAATTAAAGTAAATTAAATATAAAAGTTACATAATAGAATTTATTTTATTTAATTTTTATAGAAGAAATAAAAAAGTTTCTAATTGAAAATATTTTTTTTAATTTATAAAATTAAATTAAAATTAGTTATAAATTAAAAAGAAAATTGTAACTAATAAATAAATTAATTACTTTTTTTATTATATTAAGTAATAAATATAAAAAAAATCTTTAATTAAAATAAATCTTGATATTTTTATTAAATTGTATTCTCTTAATTTTAAAAAGTAAATTAATAACATACAAAATAAAATAACAAAATACCTTTTCTTAATTTTTGTAAAATAAAAAAGTTTCTGATAAAAAAGGATTTCTTTTAATTTATAAAATCAAATTAACTTTTTAATAGGGAATTTAATAAAGTAATATTATTAAAATATGTATATTATTTTTTACATTTAATAATTATTTTTTAATTTTTAACTAAATTATAGTTCCTTAATTATATAAGTAAATTAATCATTTACTAAAACAAAATAACTTTTCTTAATTTCTTTAAAGTAACTTAAATATAATAATTAACTAATCTGAAAGTATTTTTTAATACATTTCTTGATTAAATTTTATATTAAAAAAGTTTACTAAAAAATTTCTCATAATATTCCTAATCAAATTTTATATAAAAAGTTTACTACTTGAAAAAATTCTTTTTTATAAATTTTTTTTAATTTCAATTATAACAAAATAATAAAAATTTCTCATGATTTTCTTGATTAATTTTAATATACAAAGTTTACTACTTAAAAAATTTGTTTTGTAAATTAAATTTTCTTTAATTTATATTATAAAAAAATTAAAAAAGAATTTCTCATAATTTTCTAAATTGAAATATGACTTTAAGAAATTTACTACTTAAAAATTTAAAAATTTCTTTTCTGATATTGTTTAATTAATTTAAATTAAAAAATTAAAAAAAAAATTTCTAAATTTAAAATAGTAAACCCGTATTGGAAGAGCCGTAGCAAATCGTAGTATTGGCCATGAATATCTCCGCAAACTTTTATAGGAGCTTCGAGCTCCAGCAAATTTGGCTGACTTAGAAAAATCTCACGTGCTTTAAAGCATAAAGCTTTCACTTCATCTTCACTAAGAGAAACAGAAGTTCCAGGCTGCTGCTCTCGAACTTTAGAAAAAGTATTATAAAAATATATTTTTATAAAGAAGGATTTAAAAAGATTTTAAAAATTAAAATTTTAACAAATAATTTAAAAATTAATTAAATAAATGTTTTAATTTTAAATAACTAATAATATTGAATTTCAAAGGTTCTGCTTTCGAAGTTTAACAAAGATATTATATAGAACATTTTATTTATAAACAAAAAGATTTAGAAAGATTATAAATATAAAATAAAAACAAATAAAAAAAAATCTAAAATAGAACGATTAAATTTGTTTCTTATCGACAACACTAAGAGATGCAGAAGTTTCAGGCTGCTCTCAAACTTTAATAAAAGTGTTATATATATTTTTTTAAATGAAGAATTTTAAATTATAAAATTTATAATATAAAAACACTTAAATTAATTTAATGAAATCTGAAAAAAGTTCTTCACAAAAGATAAAAAAGTGCCAAGCTGCAGCTTTCAAACTTAATATATGATAATTTATAAATTTTTTTAAAAATTTAAAAAGCAAAAAATTAAAGTAAAGTAATTTAAATTGTTTAAAGTTCATCTTTACTAATGGAAAAAAAGTAAAAAAAAACAATAATAATAAATTTATTAAGTTTGTCAGAAGTTCACCTTTCAATAAGAATTATAAAATTATGTGGAATTTATAAATATTAAAAATTCAATTAGATTAATTAAATCTTGAAAAAGTTTTTATTTTGTTATAAGAAATCTTTATTATTATATAATATTAATTATAAATGAATTAATAAAGTTATTTTAAAAAAAGATTAAAATAAAGAAAATTTGAGAATCTTATTTTTTTTAAAGCCTTTAGTACATTATAACAATTTATTACTTTATAAATATAAAAAAATTATATAATAATTTTTTCTTATAAAAAAAATTAAAAAAATTAAAAAAAGTAAAATTAAAAATTTAATTTTAATTATAAATAAAACTCTTTATTGTATTTTTAAATAAAATTTTTTATAGATAAAAAATTAATTTAAAAAATTTGTTAAAAGTTTTTATTTCATATAACTGTAAATTTTTTAATATTATATTATTATTACATAAAATTTATTATTTTAATAAATAAAAAAAAATATTTAAAAAAAATTGTTACATTCAACATCAAATAACAAAATTTATATTTAAATAAAATAAACCTTTTCATATTTATTAATATTATTATTATAAATTTAATAATGATGCCGCCTGAAATAAAAAAATAATATAAAATTATAAAAAAATATTTGGTACTGTTGTTGAAGAGCTCTTAGTATGTAATAAAAAAAATTATATATTCTTGAAATTAAAATTAAATAAATTAAGTTAATTATAAGTGAATCTTAGTAGTAATTAGAACTCTATAGTGGTAAGCAAAAGCTTAAGTTTTTTTAAAAAATAAAAAAATTCATGTCAATATTTATATTCTATTAGGTATGAATGCGTCAAGTCGAAAAGAAGCGATAATAAAAATCGTAAAGATTTTTATAAAACTTAACTTATTTTGCTAAAATAATAAAACTAATATTAAAATTTCGTAAAAGTAATTTTTTTCTATATATAAGTATAAACAGGTCAAGACAAGAAGAATCAACAATAATTGTAAAAAACCTTTTAATATACCAAATAAATTAACTTAAAATTATTATTAAAAATTTGTAAAAGTAAATTACAAGTCAAGTTGAAAAGAAATCAATATTAATTTTTGTTAAAACTTTTTAAGACTAAATGTAATTTGCTAAATTTATAAAAATAGTAGTAAAATTTTGTATAAGTAATTTTATATAAATATATAAATATAAACGTGTCGAGCCGAAAGAAATCAATAATATTTATTATAACTTAGAAAAAAATATTTTATATTAAAAAGTAATATTCTCAAGTAAATTCTCGTAATAATTTTACTCGACTCAAAATTTTAATTTAAAAAACCTTCAAGAAGTCTTTCGATCACATTATTAACGTCAAGGTTTCCGCCCGTCATCTTCATTTACTTCAAAAAGGAATTGAATATTAGTAAAAAATTCATAGCCAAAACGGAGGTAACTATTCAATTTAAATAAAAAAAATAAGCTTTTACACAGCTTTAATAAAACATAAATCAGTTAACTTTAAATAAATTTTAATTAAAAAATACAGAAAAATTAAATCGATCTATTTTTAAGATGAAAAGAAACTTAGTGCAAAAAGTTTCTTTTCAAAAAAATTAAAACGTCTGAAAAAAAAAGTAAACGGAAGTAAAAAATCATCACATTCATTCAATATTTAGTTTTACAATAAAATTTATAAATCTACAACTGCATTAGCTTTGATTTACTAAAATAAAGAAGTAAAAGGGTATTACAGTTAACGCAATAATCTATATGAGTTTCTAACTAGTTCAAATAAGTCAATACTAAAATTAAATATATAATTAAAAAATAAAAGAAAAAATAATTTTAGTCATAAATTTTTATATTAAGCTATTAAAGTTTTTACACTAGATTACAAAATTTTAAAATAATAATAATTTTAAAGATTAGAAAATTTATAATAGTAGTTCGGTATCAAAATTTAACATTCAAGCTATAAATTTTTTAACCTATAATAAAAAAGTTAATGGTGTATAACGTTAACTTATGAATCAATAATTAAAAAAAAAAAAGTTTGGTATCACGTTTACTCAGTAAACTATAGAAGTTTTTTAAATAGATTTAGTAAAGTTAATATAAAATATAAATTTATCGTTTAAATATTTTTATAAAAAAAATAAAAAGGTATTGTGGTATCAATATGTGATTTTTTAAACTGTAAAATTTTTTTAATTAGATTAAAAAAGTTAATAATGTAAAATATTAAATTATAGATACCTTTTGAAAAGAAAAAAAAGGAAGTTTAGTAGCAAAAATTTAACTCAAAATACAATAAAAGCTTTTAACTATGACAATAAAGTTAGTGGTAAAAACTAGTATATTAAATAACTTTATAAAAAAGTAAGTTTAGTATTACACAAAAAGTTAAAGCAAAGAGCAGCAAGAAAAAATTTTAAAGCACTTCGTGCATGCAATGAACACCAGTCCTCCTTTCTGTGACTAGCACGCAGTACGGCATATTCCAATCACTGAACAGTTCCCACCTTTCAGTATGCTATCATTTTTATTGTAATGTTTTTATTTATAAATACGTATATATAATAATGGCCCAACTTTTTTTTTAAACATTTCCGTCCTTGTGAGAGTTACTTTGAGTTTTTATGACTTTTATATATATAAATTGTATTTTTTTATAATAAAATAAATAATTAATTATTGATATTTAATTAGTTACTTCATTTTTATGCATATATCGCTGTATAACTTTTTATCCAGCTTCTCTGATATATACTTACATTATTTTTAAAAACCTAGAAGTAATAAACCTCTACCTACACTTTTTAATAAGCAACAAATGATGAGTAAGGGAAAAAAGGTTGAAAAACAGCTTTTTAAAAGGCTAGTTCAAAAAAAATTGATTTAAGTGGTTTACTATTAATGGGGCTCGTTAAAGTGTATTGTGATATACTGACTATAAATACTAATAATACTTAAATTAGAAAACTTATTAGTTTAATAGTAAACAGTATTAAATATTGTTTATGTTAAATATCAATTACTTTTATCCACCAATTTATTACGAATCTAGTCCAAACGAAAGCTCCAAAAGCTTTCATTGTTTTTCAATATGCTAAATCAATTTCTTTATTAAAAAGTAAATAAGTTTTTGTATATATACAATATTACCTCCTGGAGAGCTTTCTGGCGACCTAATATACTATATATAGGAAAACATCTAACAAAGCAATTGGCTAACCGTCCAATAACAGAGAAGATTTAGATGACTGCCCGTCCTTTTTTCAGGTAACTGTCTTATAAAATATCATGTGTCTTTTACAAAGATTCCCAATATTTAATTTTAATTTAAAAATAAAAAATTCAAGGTACGAGACTTTCTAACATAGTGAAATGTGTACTTTAAAACTTTTTCATGTTGCTTAAATAATTTAAGTTTTCTATAAATTTAAAACTATGTGGAGCCGCTTTGTGATGAATTAACCGTAACTATATTATGTTTAAAAAATTGAATATTAATCTAGTATGAGCCGTGAAACATATGTAAATCGCTGTATTGATAAATATCTATTATGTAGCTAGAACTTTTATAGCTCTTCTTTTATGTAATTATGATTTGCATGGCCCCTTTTTAAATGAATAATTTTTAATTATGTTTTAACTATATTGTGGTTCAAAGCAATTGAGGTGGTCATGAATTTAAAATATTAAAAATCGTGAAATTCATGTGGAACACTTTGTTGATTTTACAATATTTTAACTATAACTTTTATAGGTCCTCTTTTTTAATTAAGCTATGCTGCCGGATATATTATTAAACTCTGCATCTGCTCAGCTGAAATTATTTTACAAATATTTTACTATAAAATAAGCGCACCAGCTAATTTTTTTTCCAAAGTTTATTGTTTCCCCAGCATACCATACGGTTGTGTGGAGCGAACAAGGACATAAAGTCGACCCAATAAACAGCCTTCGGAGAACTTAAGCCCATATATTATTGGCTAGAGATTTTCAGACAACCAATTAAATTGTATTTTATAAGTAGGAGCAGCTTTTTATAACATCTTGACGAAATGTTCCGGAATTATAGAATAACTATAATACTATATTTTGTAGTGAACTGGCAGGGGATGGTAAAACTTTTGATTTGTCAAACGAATCAGAAACCACCGCTACATAATAACGGCTTAATAGTGGTTGCAATCGACAAAGATCAGGCGCTCTTTGTCGACATCTCGCTGGTCAGTAAGTACAATTTACTTAGGCTACTTTAAAAGATGAAGGCAAGACACCAACCCTTTAACCATTGGCGATGGAATTATTTAGTATTAAACACCGAGCACAGCTATTGAGAATGCGCTTGTAGTCTCCGGACTTTCGACGAAAGCACCCCGGCCTGAAGGAATCTTTAATGAAATGTTAAAACCGCCGGTGACTATAACCACCTTCTTTGTTTTGCAACCTCTACAATATCCCTTGGCTACTTCCTTACGCATAAGAAACGGTCACTGTTGTGATGCTACTCAGGAGGGTCTGCAGGTTTCAAGAGACTTGAGCCTGTACTGCCAAATCAGCCTACTCTCTGCAGTGGGCAAAATCGTAAAGACTGTGTCACTACGCCGGCTGAAAGAGTTTTCAAAAACACACAAGGCGCTTCCGGAATTCCAGTTTCGAATTTCGAAGAAGCCACTCTAATGCACAGCTTTTACGCTTTTTTGAGTGATAACTAGAAACTTCAAATTTAATAAGGCCGCGGAACGCCGTGTTTCTCGACATTGAAAAATCTTTGACTGCGTAAGGCTCGAGTTTTTTACGGAAATTACCGTATTGGGTGCTCCGTTAGTTCTCTTCAAGATTTAAATCCGTTTCTGTGCGAACTCACCTTTCCAGCGAGAATTGGAACTGCGTCATCGTCATATCGTCGACTCACATCACAGCGGGTTTTTTACAAAGTTCTCTGCTCTTCATGCTGTGTATGCGGGACGTCCCACTCCCAGCGAATCCTGGCATTCGCATCGCACTTTACGACAACACCTACAACTACAACGCTATGTTAAAATATTCACCAACTAGTCCAGAACCTCTTTGTCTTTTTCATAAAGTAATCTGCAGTCGTTTTAACGAGCGTCTGAACAAAAACAAATGATAGTTAATAAAAAAAATTAATAATTCTGATTCTTACTTTCCCGAAACCCCCCCGGTCCTTTTTACTACGCCAGACAATGATTATTTTACCTGTGCATCTGCACAGCCAACAATTACAATAAAATAAGAATTTTTTTCCTCAGTTTTTTGTAGGCCTCCCTGTCTTCATACTGTTGTATTCAGTACGTTATAAGAACCTTTTAAACTTTTCATTAAATAGTTCATTACATTATTGTTAATAGTCAAATCTTTTTTTTATTATAATTTTATTAGTTTTTTCTTTTCTTCATACTAACTCTCTTTTATCCTTTAGTTAATTTCTTTCCCTCCTTCTCTCTTGAAACGATTTTCTGGTCTTTATTTAGATTATATTGCTACTTTTTACTTCCGTCTATAAGCTCTCGTTGTTCATCCATTCGGGGCTTAAATTTTTATTTCATAATAAAAAGTAAATCATTTTATTAAACATTTCGGCGCAGCAGTAGGATTAATAGACATTTTTTAAAGATGAAGCATATACACAATTACCTTTATTAGGAATATAATTTTATACTATTCTTATTTTTTTGTGCATTTTTCTTTATTTTGTTATTAAACTTATAACTTATTTTAATTATTATTAATTATTGTTATTATATTTAGAAACCCGTATACAGGAAAATTTAGTGCTTTTGTGAAACGTGAATTTTATAAAATACATTAGCTTAAGAGTTATTTCAGTAGCACAAATTAAGTTTAATAAATAAACATTTCTCTTATTTACTTTTTAGTTTATATTAAAAAAAATTTGCTTTTAAAAATTTTTATTAGCTCAGATATAAAAAAGTAATACCGCCACTATAAAAAATTACTTTTTAAACTTTCTATGAATGTATAAAGTGAACTTAAGGAGTTCTGCGTTACAAAATTATTATTAAGAATAAATATTTCGTGTACTTCATATAATTATTAGAGATTAAAACAAATGTAAATTTCGGATATTATATATTACCAAATTGAAGTAATTCTAAATTTTTTTCTAAAAACTTGAGACTTATAACTTTGAAGTTTATTATTTTTGTTGTTATTTAAATTCTAAACAAAATTAATTTAGAAATTTAAAATTTTTTTTTAAAGAGAATTATTTTAGACAGAACAAACTATATAGTTAATGACAATTAGTAAAAGTAACTAAATACGAATAACAGTTTAAAGATGATCCTTTTTTTTAAAATAAAAGTTAAATCAGGACAATAAAAATATTTATAACAGTTATGCGCTAAAAAAATATATTTTATTTTTCTTAAGAATTTTCAAATT